TGTTGAACATTTTTTCATATGTTTATTTGCTATTTCTGCTTCTTTGTCTGAGAAATGTCTGTTCATTTCAGATGCCTATTTTTGGACTGGGTCTTTAAATTTGGGAGGTCTGATTTTTTAAGTCCTTTATAGAGTCTGGATAGTAGACCTTTGTCTGAGGGACAGCTGGTGAAAATTTTTTCCCACATTGTGAGTTGTCTCTTCACTCTACTGGTGGTTTCTCTTTCTGTGCAGAAGCTTTTTAGTAAGAAGAGATCTCACAGGCAACTGAGGTTTTGTTCAAAAAATCTTTTCCTACACCAATGTCTTCATGTGTTCTTCCTAAATTTTCTTCTAGCCAGTTTAGTGTTTCTGTTTTAATATTTAGATCTTTAATCCATTTAGATTTTAGTTTAGTGCATGCTGAGAGATACAGGTCTAGTTTTAGTCTTTCATAGGTTGAAACCGAATTTTTCTAGAGCCATTTATTAAAGAGGCTATCTTTCCTCCAGAGAGGGTGTTTGGCTCCTTTGTCAAAGATGAGATGGCTGAGTATTTCTGCAGCTGTTTGTGCATCTTCTAATCTGTTCCACTGGTCCTCAGATGTTTCTTTGCCAGTACCATGCTGTTTTTATCACAGTAGCTTTGTAGTATAGTTCCAAGTTGGGGGTAGTGAAGCCCTCTGCCATGTCTCTGTTACCTAGAATTGCTTTTGCAATTCTAGGCCTCTTCTTACTTTTTTGCAATTGTCTTACTTTTTGCATTTCTGGGCCTCTTCTTGTTCCAAATGAATTTTTCTATTGTTTTCTCAAGGTCCATGAAGTATGCTGCTGGGATCTCAATAGGGATTGCATTGAATCTATATAGCAGTTTTGGAAGTATGGCCATTTTCACTATGTTGATTCTTCCTGCCCAGGAGCAAGGGATGTTTTTCCATTTTCTGATATCAGCTTCAATCACTCATTTCAGAGTGCTACAGTTTTCAGAGTAGAGGTCTTTGATTTCTTTTCTTAGGTTGAGTCCTAGGTATTTCAGTTTTTTGGATGCTACTGTGAAAGGGTTTGCCCTATTTCCCTCTCAGTGAGTCTGTTGTTCATGTAGAGGAAAGCTATTGATTTTTGTGTGTTGACCTTGTATCCAACCACTTTACTGGATTTGGTTATTAAGTCTAGAAGACTTTTGGTGGAGTTCTTGGGGTCTTAGATATAGAGTATCATGTCATCTGCAAATAATGACAATTTGACTTCTTCATTTCCTATCTTTATTCATTGTATTTCTTTCTCTTGTCTAATTGCCATGGCGGATGTTTCCAAAATTATATTGAACAGGAGTGGTGATAGTGGACATCCTTGTCTTTTTCCTGATTTTAGTGTGAAAGATTTCAGTTTTTGACCATTTAGTATGATATTG